TGATTTGAGTTGGCTCGGTGAGCAACACAACTATTTCTTCCCATTCATGAGTAAACCAATTCCTCAGAAGTCCTTTAATCAATGTTTCCCACACATGCCTCGTGAAGGGACATGAGAAGAAAAGATGACTCCTTGTCTCCATCGGTTCGGAGCAAAACACACAGCTTGCATTTGCATTAGAATTCCATTTTATGACTCTATCTCTTGTTGCCAAACGATTTTTTATAGCCAACCAAACCATAAATAAAAACTTAGGAATAGAGTGCGAGAACAAGACTCTCTTAGACCAGTCCACCAATGCTCGAGCTATATGAATATGGTGCCAAGTATCCTTCGATACAAACTTCTTCTTTAATTTCTCGTCTTTTCCTCTCCATAATGCCACATCTTCTAAATCTATCTCCCGATTTGCCGCTTCTTTACCAACTCTGCCTCTATTGCATTAATCAAGGGTTGTCGATGTGTTCTTCATCTCGGCTTATCCATAGCCTCACCCAAAGAAAAATTCATATACAAATTAAAATATCATTGAAATGACATTCTATCATACAACTACGAAATTCGCAAGTCGTAGATGGTCGCGCAAAATACAACTACATATATAATATACATATTCTTGCGAAACCCTAATAAGCACAATTTTTTTTTTTTACCACAACTTTAGGTGTTGTGTGTTGCTTTATCCGAACAAGAAATCTAAAATATCTATTCAGTTTGGTCTCAACATTCATTGTTCGAAAATGTTTTATCTCTTCGATTTGGATACAATGTAATTTTCAATATTTTTTTTTTGGGATATTTACTAAATAATGGTATTTTTGAAATATTTAAAAATAATAGTATTTTTTAAAACAAAACTTTAAAGTGTAATATTTTGAAGAATTACACTATAATTTACGCTCCCTTGCTTATTCGAGCGAATTGTTTTCTATCATGTGAAGTTGTTGCTGTTTACACATTTTATGTTCTCAAAACTCTTTTGGAAAATATTTTGTTTCAATATATAACGGAACAAAAAAAAATAGATATAGATTGATAAATATATAACATTCGGTTAAAGTTGTGGGAAAAGATGCATTCTGGTGTTTACCCAAAAAAAAAAGAAGATGCATTCTGGAAGTAGAAAATAGATTCATTTGCAAAAAAATATTCAAACCTCTATAGACTAGACTTAAAATATGGACCACAAGGTCCAAATCTTTTTGGATGTTCGATTAACTAACGTTATAGTAAATTGATCATAAACTTTGTAATAGACTAAAAGGCCTTTTGGTTAGAGCTTGTGGTTATTAGTATAGATTCCATTTGAAGATATAAATATTAATTTACAATCTATTTAGTTGTAAGGGTGTCCATTTGTGAAGTAACACGTATAAGAAGTTATTTAGCAACGTAAAAGAAGTTTCTAAACGACAACAACGTAAATGTTGATTGCCACGTACGAAGATATCATTTCCTTTTAATTTTGTTGGATCGCCTTAGTGGCTACGGCAAAGGTCTAAATTTGCTATCAACTTTTAAGACATGACTCAACTAATATATCTAATTAATTTAAAGAAAGCTTTGGAGGACATATACACTTAGGGACAATCTGATCATAGTTAATGTTTCATTTGGTTGGATTTGGACGTGATGTTCTAA